ACCCAAACCCTTTTCTATTCCCCCCCCTCAACACTGTGTTTCATCCTGCTGATACCGGCTCCATGTATTTCTCCTGGGCAAGTGTGTCTCTCCCGGCTCAACTCAATGGGGCACATTTCGTGGCCTTTTGAGGCCCCTTACAGTCCTATGGGGAGGTCGTCTGTGTCACGCTAGCCTTTTTTTGCCTTTCAGATGACCCCATGTGTGCGCTATCACAGCTTCTGTGTCAGTGACAATGTGGGTTGTCATTTTTCCAGGAAGTTATTTCATTCCAATGAGCAGAACTGGCTAACAGAGGAGATAAAGATGAACTATGGAGACAAAGGGAACAGGAGTTGAGAGACACCACAAGTGATAGGAAGGAAGGCATACGACACGGAACAAAGAACTGGGGAGCAGAAAAGGGATGCTTGCGTGGGAGGGTTGAAAGTGGGAGTCCCTGCTGGGGCGTTCTATCCTGCGGGGGGTGAGGAGGGGGAGGAGAAGGGACATGAACGCTTCTTGCAGTCAGCTTCTGCTCACAAATGGCTAAGATGCGCAGGCTTGCAACTTTTCCCCAGCATGTAGAAACATCATAATTTTCTTCTGATGGCAAAGGAGACAGTCTGGGTGATATTCAAGGAATGTCTGGCCAGCGCACAGTGAAGACTTTGTTCATTCTTGCAGCATGGTTGTTTCTGAGATGCTGCCAGAGCTAACTCTTTGGGCTATTGGTGCAGAAGGAGAAGGTTGTCTGTATCGTGCGCATAGGTGTTTGGCAGATGGGAGCTGCTGGCGGGGAGGGGGTGATACTGGCAAATCACGCATTTGGTCTGTGTTTACTCTTCCTCCTCTTTGTCCTGTGGTTTTGTTTTGCCCTGTGGTTTTCAATTTGACATATAGCGATTTTACCCAGCAAATCTGTACCTTAAGCATAAAAGGCCAAGTGCCAGGTTCAAACCTGAAGCTGTTTTTGTTTGGCCTTTTCCTCCACTTGAATCTCTTATTTCCAGGGCATTTTTGTGTCAGTGGATTTGTGCAAAGTAGCAGATTTGATTACCATGATGTATCTCCTACCCCATACTTAAAGCGTAGGAACACCTTATATAAACTCATGACATAACATTCACATCCCCCTGGCGAACCGTGGCCAGGCCCAGGTGAGGAGGGACCAGAGCAGCTCGTTCTTATGCTGAGGCAGATATTTTGACAGAGAAAGAGGGAATAAAGTTTATTTTTATTTTATATAGAAGAATCTGAAAATGGTTCCACTCTGATAACGTGAAAGAGAGTACAATGGCGTAATTATAAACAAAGAACTCAATTCTCTTTTCTGTATTAGATTAAATGCCATCTGGGAAGTGTGCAAAGTGCACGAATGGAGACTCAGGCATGGCAGAGGTGGGAATGGAGGTGGAGCCTAGCTGGAGGCAGCAGAGGATAGTCAGGGCAGAGAGAGGAGATGGGCGGCAAAGCAGGCTGGGAAATTCCCAGAATGCCCAACTAGAGTAGAATCCTATGGAATGAATCCCCTCAGTTACTTATTCCCTCCTCTCGGAGTTCTTTCCCACAATTCCTCCCACTCTTCACTCTTTGAAAAGTACAAAGAGTGTAAATTTTCCCAGAGACATGGGTAGGGGAGGGGAGAGAGGGATTGTGTGGGGGTGGGGACCTCTTTGAAATCTCATTTCCGAATGAAAGGTTTGAGCTTTCTGGCTCTCCTCTGGAGACTAGATTTGCCTTTCTTTTTCGCTGTTTCTTTCTCGATCTAGAAAATAAGGGCAAAGTTTACGTCTGTAAAAGGCGTGAGAATGATTTAGTTTGAAAAGTAGAATGATGAAAAAAATAATTCTTATACGTGTCCTAGCTAATGTACAACTTCAAAATCTCTTTCAGCTCCTGAAATACCCACTATTGATCAGGCATATTCAAAAATCAGCAACAGTATCACTGTGGAATGGGCTATAGTGCCAGGGGCCACCAGTTACCTCCTCACTGCAAAAGATGGTGACACTGTTATTGAAACCATGGTGGCCAATTCCCCAGGCACTGTGACAGGCCTGAAGGCTGCCACCTTGTACCAAATCACTGTCAGATCCATCAGCGCCGCTGGGAGAAGCCAGGCATCACCTCCAAAACAAGCAAAGACAGGTAGCTGGATATGCACCCTCTTTTGGGCCATTGCTTGTGACCTAGATCAGTTATACTGGGGCAGCAGTTGCATGATGTAATTTTGTGTCATGTGAGTGCCCAGAAGTAAATGCCACCAAATTATTTTAGGGGGCGGGAGAGGGGGAGATTCAGTTATATGTAGAGAAGGTGGTATTTAAATTCCAAATGCTTTGCTTTGGAAAATAACCATTTCTTGGCACCCTTAAAAGCATCCCTGCTTTTAAATGTCTGAAAAAAGAATTTCTGTGTTTGACTTCGGTGATCCATCAAGACCATGCCAAATAAAGAACACATGGAAGGGATTTGTTGCACTTCGACTTGCTTGAAATTAAAACATTTGAAGTTTGTCATCAATCTTACTTAAATTGTCACTTTGGTAAATTGTCAATTTGTCAATTTGGTAAAGTTGTACCTAGGCATATTTCTGAAAGGTTGTGTGTACAGTAACATAGTATAAACCATCATTCCCCCCACTGACTTCTATTATGATTACAGGGATGTTTAACCTAGTTTATTACTAACCTCTAGTTGAAAATAATACCTAATATTAGAATTTCTCTGTTTCCTATTCCTCTGCCAAGCCATTTATAATTGTTTTTCCCTCAAACTTCAGTGTTTATTAGAATCACCTAGAGGACGATTCTAATACACATTTAAATAACAAATTTATAATATACATTTAAATAGCAAATTTTAATAAAACTCTGCCATGAATCCTTTTGCAGAGCAAGTATCTAATTTATACTATGGATCATCAACCTCTAATACTTATTCCTAAATTTGAATTATCCTCTACCGAAGTTCCATAATACAAACGCACGTGCTTTGTTTTTGTAGTGTTGGCTGCACCAATTCTAGAAGTAAGCTCTCCAAGTCCAGACTCTATTCTTGTGCAGTGGGAAGCTGTATATATGGCCATTGGATTCTCTGTGTCCATCATGCGAGCCAATGGTTTGGGCAGAATATGGAAAGAGAATACCACAAACACCACGTTGACATTCACCAGCTTAGACGCCGGGACTCTCTATACCATAAAGGCCTATGCGTGGAATGCCAATGGAACCCCTGGGGATGACTCCACCTGCAATCAGAGAACAAGTAAGACTTCTTAGCTCAGTCCCCAAATCTCATTTTTGATTAACAAGAGGGGTTATGCATTGTAGCCATCAAGGGCAGTGTTAAGTGATGAGTATAGAACAGCTGGCAACAGCTATTTAAATTTATTATGAGTTTGTTTATAGTGCCTTGACTATTCCTTGTTGGTAGTTTAAATGCTTACTGGTTGTGTAAAGAAATTCTGATTCTGTAACAGATATAATCAGTTAACATGAGATCATTAGGGCGAGCCCTAATCCACTATGATTCCTTATAAAAAAGAGGAAATTCGGACACAGACATACACATACAGGGAGAATGCATGTGAACGCGAAGACCACCATTTACAAGCCAGGGAGAAAAGCCTAGCACAGATCTTTTTTCACTGCCCTTAGAAGGAACCCAAGCTGTCAGCACCTCGATTTCAGACTTCTAGCCTCCAGGACTGCGAGACGATCACTTTCTGTTGTTTAAGCCATCTTGTTCACAGTGCTTTGTTACAGCAGCCCTAGCAAAGTCAGGCTAAATCCCAGGTCTCTAAAAACTTCTTAAAGCACGGCAAAACACATGAAGAGAAAAGCTGTAAAAAACCAGTCACTTCTAGAAAATAGTTCTCTCAGTTCTGCAGTCTGATAGAGCTGCTCCCTCCCGTGCTGCCCTGTGCCTGCGCATTCTTCTAGCAAAGCACTTGTTAGGGCAAATCGTACTTGAGTTCTCGAGGCTACTGCGAAATCTTAACTGTTTCTCAAAACTGTAGGTCCTCGTGCTCCTGCCAACATTCAAGTCTCATTTGACAGTGGGGCTCTGCAGGCATCTGTTTCATGGGCACCGACAGAAGGCGCGTTCAACTACACCGTGATGGCTTTAAGCGGCTCTTCTGAGCTGAGCTGTAGCACGGTGTTCAGCTCCTGCATCATTTCCTCTCTCCAATGCGGAACACGGTACCTGATTTCAGTTTTAGCAAGTAACGATGCAGGATCTAGCGGATCAGCTTCAGCAGTGACCCTGAAAACCGGTATGTCAACAAGAGCGAGGCTACTGTGGGGCTGGTGAGCCAAAGTGACCACCATAGGACAAACGAATAATCACCTGACCCTGTTCCAGAACACTCTGGAAGAAGCGAAAACGATAGCTTGCTGTAAAAGAAAGCATTGAGTTGGACATTCTGATGATTAAATAATGTTGACAATGAATCCAGATACTGTGCATTAGAAAAAGCACTTTGAGTCTATGGCCATGCCACCCTGAACAAATCTGATCCCGTCTAATCTCGGAAGCTAAGCAGGGTCGGGCCTGGTTAGTACTTGGATGGGAGACCACCTAGGAAGACCAGGTGCTGTAGGCGTAAAAAATCAAAAAAATAAAAAAGTAAGGGATTGTAAGCTGACAAAATCCTTGCAGTCTATGAGGTCAACCAAGGGTTGCCTCGCCTAAAAAATAATAATAATAAAAGAAAAAAAGAAAAAGCACTTCGAAAGTTAAGAGTCTTGCTCCTATTCCAGATCTTTCCTTAACTAGCTGATTTTCATCTGTAAGGTTGTAAAAACTCTAAGATCCAGTTTGAGTTATGTACAGCGGTAACTGCATACAACAGATAGCAGCCTCTTCCTTCCATCATGTTTCACAGGCCTAGGCTTGGTGCGAACAATTTTTAAAGATTAAGATGGGCCGTCTGTAGTTCTGAATGTGTTTAGATATCTTCCATTTTTCATTTGGGCTATAAAGACATATGTGGAGAGGTTCACTCCTCTATTTAGAAATATCTATGTGTTTTGGGGACGGGAACTAACATTTAGTGAAGACCTACTGTGTCCCAGGCAATATAAATACATCATTTTACTTAATTCTCATGACCACTCAGTGAGTTAGGTTCTATTATCTCCTTTTTTAGATAAGAAAATCGAAGCTCAGAAAAGTTAAATAATTTTTCCTTGGGCCTAATGATAATAAGTGTTGGAGCTGGAATTCAAGCCCAAATTTGCCTGATTTCACTCCTCTGAGATAAAGAAAATATAGATAGTTATAATAATGTCTACTTGGTCCAAATGTCAGAATTTTGACAAGTTTAAGAGGCTTCTGAGCAGAGATAAAAAGAGCCATCACCAAGCCGATGTACCCTATTTCACAGGAAAAAAGCCAACCCCTCAGATCTAGTTCTTATAATTTTCATAAATTAAGGTCACCGATAACAAACTTAGTGATTTGGCTTCTCTTTAACAACAGTAATTTAACGTGGATGGTATGTTAGAAATGGTTATGAGGATGGGAGAGCTGAGAGTGAAGGAAGAGATAAAAAATACATTTTCAAAAGCCCAGCAGCTCAAAGTTAGTTATGCAGTTCAGGAGAGAACCATGCAGCGTTTTTCAATCTCGGATGCACATTAAGAGCATCTGGAGAGCTTTTGTAAAATCCTGATACCCAGGCCCCACCAAAGACCAATAAAATGAGAGCTTCTGGGAATGGAGTCTGGATATGAATAGCTTGTGAAAGCTCCTCAGTTGACTCTAATGTGCAGCCAGGATAAAATGCCATTGAAATAGCCCTGAGTATTTATCAGTCCAGGAGGCACCACTGTAGTTTGTGTATAACACAATCAGTCATGATCGTGGGAATGACCTTGACTTATCAATAAAGGAGCTATGTTTAGAAAGTTCTATGTGTTTCCTGTAGCCCACAATTGTGTGATGTATTTTAGGAAGATTTCCATTAGAGATGACTAAAATTTTAAAAGCTTTGAGCTTGAAAGAATAAACTTCATTTGAATCTATTCCTTCAGAAGACTTCATTCTGTGCTGGTCCTGGCTTTGCCTTAACACAGAAACACAGGCAATATTAACCGAGGCGAATCCATGCCTGTTTCTGACAGTCTAGCATGTATTGTGTGAGATAAATTTTAGGACATGCGAGAATGTTTCGTTGGTTTGCACATACTGTTTGATGTATTCCTGGCATCTTGTTTCCTGAACGATTGCAAAGATGCAAAGAAAATCTCTCACAACTGTTTATTATTCATCATTTCCTAGTTGCCTGTGCACCTGGAAGAGTGACAATCCAAGAAGATCCCCCAGGCCACCTGTCTGTGTCTTGGTCCAATGTAGATCTGGGTGATTACTATGTGGCCTTTGTGAAGAGTGATGATGGCTTGGAAGTACACTGCAACACATCCCTCACTCAGTGCAACTTCTTATCTGAATGTGGCTTCACTTACTTTATCAGTGTTTTCGCCTATAACAAGGCAGGGCAGAGTCCCTTGGGCGATGTGTTCAATTATACCACAGGTAGGTTGCACTTTATGCTTATAAAGGGATTTCTGAGTCCACTAAACTCGGCAGCACAATAGATCACCTATGGCACTTAGTGACTTACATAGACCCCCTGGGAGTCATTCGAGGGCCAAGAATGGAGAGTGAATCTCTTCTCTCACATCTTTTCCAGACTAGAAAGTTTTGGCTTCATGGACCCAAGCTTAACAAGAATGCAAAGTTTAGCAATGAAAAGAGAAAAAAGGATATAGTCATTCAACTCTGCTCTGAAAAATCAAATTCTCCACCAAAATCTACTCAGCATTCAGCCCTGTGCTAGATGTTGAAGATGCAGTCCAATGTCTCAGGAGTTCATTCTTTCTCCGAGACCAGAAAACAGAAGTGCAGAGATACTATGTGGTGGAGAGAGTTGGGGGGGGAGTCCCAGGTTCAAGTCCTAACTTGACCACCAACTCATTTATAAAATGAGCAGAATGGCCTCTACCTTCCTAGTTACTTAGTATCCTCCACTGCAAAATGGGGTAAATAATAATGAGAGGATGAATATGAAAAGGTCTTTGTATGTGATAAGACAGAATGCAAATATTTTTATTGGCATCATTATTACTATTACTATGATTCTCCTCCACTAGGCTTGGATCTTCTACAGGGCAGGGATTATGTTTTATTTATAAATAAGTTAGACTAAATATGATTTTGTCAGGCAGAGGAAGGGGATGGCATTCCAGTAGAGGGGTCAGCAGGGAAATGAGGACATGTGTGGGGAACGGAATCAAGGAGTCTGGTGTGACAGGGGACCCAGGGAGACACAGCTAAACATGTAGATGAGGCATAGCTTGTCATGACCCTGAATATCATGCTTAGAGGATTTGCGCCCTATGTAGTGGGTGTTAGGCCAAAATTAGAGCTGGAAAGTCCCATAAGAAGAGTCTTGCAATAATTCAGGAGGGTGGCGGCTGAGGCTCTGGGTGTGGGGAGCTCAGTCTCTCCCACGGACATCATTGCTCCTATACCAACCTCCATTCTCTCTCTGCTCCTGCTTTCAGCTCCCTGTTGTCCGAGTGACGTTAACCCCGTGTTGGTGTCCAGTGACAGAGTAGAGATCGTCTGGTCTCCTGTTCGTGGTGCCGAACTTTACGAAACCAAGGCTGTCGATGGGTCCAGCGTACTCGAGTGCACGGACACTGCTCCTGCTTGCACCCTCTCAGCCCTGGTGTGTGACACCGAGTACAACATCACAGTGCATTCGTACAGCGAAGTCCGGGGCAGCAATAAGTCCTGTACGTCCCGATTTATAACCACAGGTACGACACGGCTGTGATTTCACTCACTGACGTATGAACGCTTCACCCAGCTGCATCCCTCAGGACGGCCTTCGCCAAAAACTGCAGAAAGGCTAACTCCCATTAGCCACCATTATAGCCGCCGTCTTACTACAGAGAGGCAGAGGGAAGGTGGAAGAAGGAAAATGAAAAAAAAAAAAAAAAAAAGAGGAGACCATGGGGAGGGTGGGAGGCTTTGCCTGTCAGCCATGCACTCCCTCCGACCTTTGGGGGTCTGTCTGTGTTTATACCATGAAGGTGAAGGCCACAAATTAAGACAAACGTTTGTCTTAATTATTTTTGCTTTTAGAGTTCAGAATGCCCCTTAACATTTTCCAGTTAGTCCAGGCTCTAGGAACCCAACTCCATATGTCAGTGTCTGCAAGGTTTCCACACAAAGGCTCTATGAATTTGGCCTTCACACATGGTTGAAAGTAATAATGGTTGAAAGTAATAATGATCTCATTTTGGGGAAAAAAGTCAGTTTTAGACCAAATGGCACAGGTGTTCTTTTTGATTCTGAGCGCTTCAGTTACTAATCTAAAATCTCTTAGCTCCTTGCAGTCCCGAAATCAAAAATGTTTCAGAGGATGCTTTCTCCATGATTAACGTGCACTGGCAATCCAGCAATGACGGCGCCACTTACACGGTGACTGCGCAGGGGGAGAAGGGGCGGTACGGGTGCAGCAGCGCGGGAGAGTCCTGCACCATGCGGGGCTTGCCCTGCGGCTCGCTGTTCTCTGTCACCGCGGTGGCCGAGACACAGGCCGGACGGAGCCCACCCAGCTACAGCGTGCCGCTGGAAACAGGTATGTGGCGACCACCAGCCCGAGCGCTGACTTCACTGGGCTGCTCAGGAACTGTTGTAAGACGTGAACTTTCTTACTTGGTCTACCCTACGAGTAATAGAAATACATTAAACTTAGAGGTCTTCCAAAGAGTCCCGAATAAAAGAATAAAACTTTCAACATTTGGACGCAGGTTCTGTAAAAATATCACCAGAAGACTAATGTATTCAGACACAGACATCGAAGGGGAGAATATGTTGGCTCTGCAAAAACATTTATTTGAATTCATATTCCCCCATGATACAATCTACCAAAACAACTAACAAGTGACGGAATGAGTTGGTTTGTTATTTATTTCTTTGGCTCGGCCCTTTCCAGTCTTTCTTTAAACAATGCATTCTGCGTTTCGGTTTCCTGATTGGTAAAAGGGGGATAATGGGTTCATCGGGTGGTTGGTAATATTAAGTTAATTAATTCTGCAGAGCGCTTTGTATAGTATCTGATACATAGTAAAAGCCCGATGAAAGAAAGCTGTTAATGTTTCATTGTATTGTCTGTGAACAAAATTTAGCACATTACTTAAAGGCTTTGGACATTATTTTCTCTTATATATAACAGTAGATGACACTTGGACTATAAAAATTGATCTGTAAAAAGCAGTGGAATAGAGACAATGCCAAATACACAGGAATATTCTAGAGATTCTATAACCTATTTAATGGGTCTCTAAAAAATTGAGACTTGGCTTTGGTATTAGGTGGCTAAGACTATTTCAAGCTTTTGTATCAATTATGTGCTATGAAATGCATGAGAAAGGCAAAATACATTTAACTGTAAATGCTATGAAATGAATGTATTGAAAGAAGAGGTGCATGCAACCGTTGCTTTGAAATTTGCACCTGGCATTGGGAACAACAAAGGATTTCTTTCTTATTTGAAAAAAAAAAAAATTAGAGAGAACCTCACATTACCCACAGCCAGTTAGTGTACTGCATTTGGAGAAAGCACTCACTTTCTATACAGTTAATATTAAAATGATGTATCAGGAGAATTGAGATTTTGCTTACCAAAAGGAAATTTTGCTTAACAATTGAAGGTTTAAGATATTTAAGAGGTTGAATGAAAGGTCTGAGATATTTAGGAGATTGAATGAAACACAGTCAAAATGCCATTCTTGGTTGTTTTTTTACAAATAACGCTCAGTAGAAATAAATCCCCAATTCTTTCTCTTTTTCCTCATTTAAGTACCGTGCTGTCCAGCTGGTCTGACAGTAACTCAGGTCACCCAATCAGTAGTCAACGTGAGTTGGACTGTTGGAACCGGGGCTCAGACATATGTGACAGTTCTGGAGTCACACACTGGCCAGTCTAAGTGTCACACCCATCAAAACCACTGCCTCTTGGGATGCATCACATGTGGCATCAATTACACAGTGGCGTTAAAAGCAGTTAGTGCCACCGGATTGACTGCGGACTGCACCTATCAAAGTTATTCCTCTAGTAAGTGAATTCTAAACTCTAGCTCTATGGTATCGATAAGGACCTTGACTGTTTTAAATCCAGACATAAGCCATTCCTTATGCTGCTTCTCCACCTACTTTACATTATAAATTCAGATTACTTTCTAAAATGTTTTTAGTTTTCCTCTGAAACTAGAACCTCAAAGTTTCGGAGGCTTCTGTTGGTCATTGGTGCATGGACTCCCTTGATAACAAGGTCTGGATATACTTTTTCTGAAGGGAGGACAGATTTTTATATGACACTGCTACCTGAAGCACAAAATAACTCAGTCTGGCAGAGTTTTCAGAAAGCATTCAGATCACACATTCTATTCAACTTGAATTTTTTCTTTTATTATTATGCTACTACCCTGCTCTCCTAAACCACTCCAGCTCCTTCCACGGCTTCTTATTTCAACAGGCTAAAAGAGCACTGTCTGCTGACGGTATTGTATCTTGTTCTTCACAAAGACCAAAGAGCATGGAAGGTAAAAGTGGTACGGGGTCAGTAAATTAGATTTCTCTCATAGGACTCTAGTCCACTGAAGTGGCTGCTTGGAGAACTGTTTTGAAAAACACTCCTAAGGATGCCTCTCAGGCTTGATGGGGAAGAGTTCGATGATCTGTTAGTTGTGTCTGCCATGGGACGTGGGATGCGAGAGTTGAAATATAATTTTGCCATCCCAAGGGTAGATCCTAAAGACGTGGCTTTTTCTATGCTCTTTTGCCTTATCCTCCCTGATTCTGTTTCCTCACTGGTAAGTGAAATAGTAATAATCATAATGTGTAGCATTTATAAGTGCTACACATCTGTAAGCTGATTATATATACCTTCTTTTGGCCCAATGTCTTTCATTAGATTTACTGCCTAAGTTTTCACCCTGATATCTAGTTCTGGGAATATGGCTCATTGCTTATCTTCACACCAAAAAAAAAAAGAAAAGAAAAGAAAAGAAAAGAAAAAACTTTTTTAAAAAGAGTAAATCAAATGAGCCTGATCATCTATAACTGAATTTTTTAATTATTATACTATAATATCTTTATTTAAGTTACTGAGGAATCTACCGTTCGGTGTCCCGCTTGACACCTGATGTGTGACCTGCTCTAGGTATTTAAAAAAGAAAAAAAAAGTACCTAGTCAGCTAGCAGGGATGAAGTGTGGACCAGCAAAGCTTGATCACCTGCCTGTTGATTAAGTGACTGCTCCTCAGGCATTATGCTATTCAGTTCAGCAAAATAGGTCTTTTCAATTAAAGCTGAGAGCAGTTAATTATATTTAAATTCAATCCCACTAAAATCATATAAAACTAGGATATTATGAAAGATCTTGACAAAGATTCTGTGTATTTGACTCATAAGGTTTGAGTCATATATAACACATTACCTGCCAAGTGAGGACTTCTTTGACTCACCATTGTTCTCTATTAAAAATTCATGCCCCCACCGCCCTCACACATGGATTTCTAATCATGTGGCCCACCATGGAAAGAACTACTGAGTACTTCTTCAAATCTTGCTCTAATCATATATTACTTAGACTGGGTTACTTATATTTTTTCCCCATAGTATTAAAGGCCATGTTTGTGTGATAGGGGAATAAATGATAGTTTTGTTTGTTTGTCTGTTTTGTTGTTCCTTCAGGTGCCTGCTGCCCTTTGGGAGTGAAATTATATAGGCTGGGCCCTAATGGCATCCGGATCTACTGGCAGATTGCCAGGGGCTCTGCCAATTACAGCACTGACCTCTATGGTTCCAAAGGCATTTTCACATGTGCCCCAAGCACTGGCCTCAGTTTCTGTGACGTCACCGAGATACCTTGCGGGGATGTATATACTGTGATGGTCTCACCAGTTGCTGAGACAGGACTGAAGCTTACCTTCTGTCCGAAAAAAATATATTCAGGTACAGCAAGTTATGACTCTTTATTTAAAATTAACCCTGAACTCAATCTGTGAATTAAGACTCTGAGCACTCACATTTATTTGCTATGCGGGAAGATCAAAGAGGCTATGACATTCCTACGTCCTGAAGGCAGATTCTGGCCTCTGGGGACCCCAAGCTTCTTTCGAATTGTGATGCTTTCTCATTTGATTTGGAAACACTCTGTCTCCCTTCTCCCTCTCCTCTCCTTCAGAAAAAGGATAAGCTGCTTGCTGCTTAAATAGTAAAGCAGATTTAAAGTTATTTTTTGCTTTGAGATTTGGAGCTAGAGTTTTAGCATAGTCTTAGAGATAATGATAGATACCCCAGAATGTTGGAAATTAAGATAGTTGAACTTTTATTTGCACAGATTCAGGCTCATGACTGAGGAAGAGTTGGAGGATCAGAAAAAAAGACAAATTTATAAATCATAAACGAGGTTTGGAAATATGAGTGGGCAGAACGGTGCGTGATCACGAAACATGACTGTCAGCAACTGCCATCTCACCAGACCTGGCAGAAAAATATTAGCAATTCTCCTGCTCTGGATTCCAGCACCTTCTGCTACCTTGCCCAGGGCGTAGTCATATATTTTTCATATATTTCTAAAAAGAAAAAAGAAAGAAAGGAAATGAAGAAGCCCTGTGTTCACTTTGCAAGTGAACACAGGAAGAAGAATAAATGTTGGTGCAGAAATCTCTACTGATAACGAGAACATAAAATTTCCAATTATGTGAAGGTGATGAGAAAGTTCAAGGTGGCTCCCGGTGATGGAACTGGGCCACTTCCTCTTTGGGGGCGTTCTCATTGTCTTTGGCCGTCACGCTCTGATTCTTTGTGTTTTCATTATCTTGTCCACAGGACAAGCTGGCCCAAAGCATGAAAGGGGACAGGAATGGGTTTTGGGGTGAGAATGAGCTCTTAGGAAGAAGAGGCTGCAGTTTATGACGATACTTCATTATATTTGCATAATGTTTTACAGTTTATCAAGTGTTTGCACATTCACTAGCTCATTGAATGCTCAAAATAACTGTGAGGTAGGTTCAACAGATTGTATTATCTCCAATTTCTAAATGAGAAAATTGAGGCTCAGAGGCTCCCAAATCTCTATGTACAACCCTTCTTTTCTTCTAACCTCTAAATCTATATTCACACTTGATACCTCCACTTAGAGGTGCCTTAGGCATTTCACCTCCTCAAGACCAAAAGGAATTTCTGATCTTCTTCAGCAGTTTCTGATTTCTTCCCATCGACCTTGTTTCAGGTACACAAGCTGAAAACCCCGGTGTCAGCTTCCCTCTCCCTCACCCTCCATATCTAAGTAGACTCCAAGTCTTGTCCTGTTCACTTCATGATGGCTTCTAAATCCAACTGTTTCTCTTCGTTCCTACAGCTACTTCTGCGCTTCAGCTCTTACCACCTCTGCCTCCCTCCCCTCCTGCCCTCTTGCCGGCCTCCTTACTATTACTGGAGTTGTCTGTCGTTCTAAGACACTGATCTGATCGTGCTACTTTCATGCCTTCGAAATCCTCAGAACTTTCCTATTGTACCGGAGGAAAAAATTCAGTTCTCTGAGTGTGGCATTCAGGGTCCCTCACAATCTGTCCCCAGTCTGTTTTTTTTACACATGCACCATGAAATAGAAATTTAATCCAAGCCATTTATGAAAATTTTTAATTTTTTAGTAACCACAATAAAAAAAGTAAAACAAAATAAGTGAAATTAATAATGTAGTTTAGCTAACCCGATATATACAACATATTATAATTTCAACATGAAATCTATATAAAAAGATTTGCATTTTTTTCCATACTAAGTCTTCAAAATCTGATGTGCATTTGATACTCACAGCACATCTCAGTTCAGATTACCTACATTTGGAGTGGCTACTGTATCGGGCAGTGCAATTCTGGGCTCCATCCACCACTGCTGACAGGACACGAAAGTCACAGGGAATCATTCACACACACCCGCCCCAGCCACACACACATACCATGCCACGTCACGCTTCCAAGCTGACGCAGTGCCCCTCTCTATGCCTGGAATTCTACCCCACCACCACCAAGGGAACTCCACCACCCACATGTCCCTCCCCTGTGAAATCTCCAACAGTCGTTGGTGGAGTTGGTCTTCTCCCTCTGTCCTTTATGACCCCACATCATCCTTATCTTTACTATGCCTTATTACTGTGAATGGATTGTGTGTTATTTCCCCTAATAAGTGATAATCTCTTGGACTCCCAGGACTTAGCACATAACCATAGCCCAGTGTAGTTTAAATTTTAAAAAAAGCATGAGTCAGTCAGTTTACGTGCTTTCCTATCATCATATAGCCCGTAAGTGAATGTTCTTTCTTCTGCTCCATGCCCACAATTCAACCCTTAGAGAGTCATTCCTCTGATGGTTTGTTAGCCACCAGAAGTCCTTGGTAGTTAGAACTCTAGTGCCATTTGGTGGGGTGCCATCTGAAGCCTGTGGCCAATGACTGGGTGTCTAGATTCAAGTTAGGAAGTTCACCTCTGCTCAATTTCCCTGGTAAAAACCATGCAGTTGGAGGAATTTGTTTTTGTTTTTGGTTTTCAGGGTTTTGTTTTGTTTTTTTTCTTTATTATTTCAGTGTCAGTGATGCTTTACATTGATAATTAGGACAACATTGTAAATGATGATGATGATGATGATGATGATGATGATAATAAAGACTAATATTTTTGAGTGCCCTGTGCCAGGCACTATTATAATGGCTTTATATGTATAAATGCCAACTGATCCTTATAACAACCCTCTGAGGTTAGCATTCGTATTCTTACCACTTTACAGATAAACTGAGGCACAGAAAGTGCCACGGTCACACTGCTAGTAGTTAGTTATCTCCTCCTATCACTCCAACTGGTTCTTATTCATTCTTTGCTATACTTTCCCTTTGTTCTTTCTTAAGTTTTATCTTCACCATCTTAAATGTATCAGTAAATACATTTTAAATGCTATGTTTTTATTTATTACAGTAACCTGCTCTGGAAGCACACTTGGAATGGGTAAGTCATTGTTCTCATGGATAAAATAGAAGAGCGTTTTGTTGTTGCATTTTAAAGTGACAGTGAAGTCAGGATCAAAGCTGACTCTTCAATTAGTCAGGAAGGCAAACGATAGGATGTCTGCTTCTGGTTTGCATGGATGGATATGCCCGGGGGGGAATTCAGGATGCTGAAAGGGGAATTGGAATAAAGATAACCCTCACTGCCTCCTCAGGTGTGCTCGGGGCTGATCCCACCTAGACTATTCTGGGTGCCCCACGGGGCTGTTCTTGGGCCGGGCTACAGAAATGTTCATGCAGAGTCGTGTGTGTTGACCCAGTAAGTAGCATGTGCTGCTTCATGAGAAGTGCTTGCCACGTTCTCCTAGAGGCCGGCTTGGGTTTGGGCCTTGGGAAAAACCCCAGGGAATACTATCAACCCCAAACTATAGACAGGGCATGCATGCTTGTGTGCCTACACACGCCCAGTCAGACATAGCTGACTTCAGAGGTTGTGAGTGGAAATGAAGCCTTTCTACCTGTAAACCCCATGGCACAGCCTCGAGTCTGGGCCAGCTCCCCATCCAAGCCTTCCTTCCACTGGCAGCGACGGGGTCTGGAATCTCCCTCCATCGCCTGTCTCTATTTCCTTTCCCAGACCATTGCTTCTCTCAGCACAGCAGGACACATGCTTTCAAATCCTTGCCCTACCTGCAGGTCTGAAATAAGCACAATCTCTATTAATTTTTAAAGAGTTTCCGTTTCCAGTGACGACAGGGCAATAGGCCTAGCTTATTAAAAACCAACTGTGAGGAAACCTCTAAATTATAAAAAAAACTTTAAAAAACTCCCAAAGTACTAATGACCATAACCCCTGGTTTTCAGTGAAATGTGCACAGGCCCAGGTCTGCATTCTTGGAACCTATTTCCAGTATTATGGTAGTTTTTAATCAGTGCTCCCCTGAGCCATGAAGGGGCAGTTGAACCACCTTGGGGATTCCTCATAGGAGAGGAGTCGTGAATTATATACTAGCCTTCTCTAAAATTTTCTTAAAGAGTTTCAGTGCTATAACCAAAATATAAAAAATTTTAAAAAAAAATTAAAAAATGCTTGCAAATCATCACTCTATGGCATCACCAGAAAGCTTGTTCAAAAACGTACAATCTCAGGCTCCACCCTGATGTACTGAATCCCAGTTGATTCATATGCAAACACGAGTTTGGAAAACACTGTTTGGGCAATAGTTCTCACGCTCTGGTGTGTATCAGTATCCCATGGAGAGCCAAGAGAAAGTGTAGAGGCCAAGACCCGTCGAAGTGGAAGAGGGCCTCCCTCTGCAGTTCTATCAGGTTTCCAGGTGATTCTGATACTTGAGAAGTTTGAGAAGCACTGCTCTAGATCACTAGCCTCCCCTTCCTCTGTCCCTCTGGACTGCCCTCATCATCAATTCTCCCTTCCTTAGCAAGGTTTAGTCTCCAGCCTGAAATCTGCCTCTCTCTTTCAGTAGATCCATGTAGAAATCCTGCAAGACCGTCAAAAAATAAGCATTAGCTGGGTCATTCGAGGGCCTCCACATCACATAGAATTCATCAGGTCTAGAGAAAAATTCTAAATTGCTGTCTCCAATTTCAGCCTTTCTCTTCCCTGTACATGGGGCGCGTCAAATTAGGTCCCTGGCTGACATGGGGCCTCCAGATATGCTAAGGGCAGTCTTGCGAATCTTGTTGGTTTAAGACTTTTGGTCTCCCTTGACTCTTGAATAATCCTAAAGCTTTTCAACAGCAAGAATTTTCTAAGAGACAGATCTGGGTTTAAATCCTGCCCCTATTGCTTGCCCTCAGGGGATTTGCTTTGATTCTCTCCAAGCCTATCTTCCTCATCTGAAAGATGGAAAAAATATTCACCTCATAGGATGTTATGAGGATTAAATGAGGTATAAATTGTTGTGTACAATGACAGGCCCATAACACGAACTTCATAAATGGTAGTTATTAATTCAGGATCAGCTTAGGCTCATATCACACCCTTTTATATTATGCGTCAGTCATTACCACTTTAATGCGCGACTTCTAAGATATTTGCATTTTAACCTCAGTCGTCATGATACCCTAACTCACTGGTTCTCAAAGTGTGGTCTCAGGGCCTACAGCATGAGCAACACCTGGGAACCGCTTAGAAATGCAATTTCTGGGGCTTCACCATAGCCCTACTGAACCAGAAACTCTGGGGTTGGGGCCCCAACAATATTTGTTTTAACAAGCCCTTCAGGTAACTGATACACGCTAAGGTTTGAGAACCACAGCTCTAATTCAAGGAAGCTACTTTGATCCTGGAAATCTGACTCAGGTTGGAAGGGAGAAGGAAAACAATCTATGTGAGGTACCTGGCCTTTAACAGGAAGTAGACGAGAGGGGTCTGTGCCTCCATGGGGGCAGCCATCATCTTCAGCATGCAGGCTGCACATTCCACAGAAGTCTCCTCTCTGCAGCTCCCTCGGCTGCTGAACAGGTTTATGTTCTCCTCGCACAATGTTCTCCCTGAACTGTTAAAATTTCGGAGCTCCCTGAGAACACAGAAAGTTGGCCTAGGGGTGGAGAGGAAAGTTCTTTGTCCTGGGAGGCTCTTTGGGAGTATTTGTTTCATGAAGCAGGACAGAGATTCACTCTGGTCAGTTAGAAACTGCTAGTCAGTTTCTTCTTGCCCTTTGAATGGTTCAGATCATCTTAATTGCCTGCTTCTTCACTGTGAAGTGCTGCAAAAATAGCATTTCAGGTCAAAATACTAATCTAAATCTCAGAGACATTTGAGGGCTTTTTAATGTAAGAAAGCGTCTGCGTGTTTAATGTGTTTTGATGCTCCTTCACCTTTTCAGTGATTTACAGAGGGAAGAGAAATGCAGAAAGACATACTAAGCCTCTGATGACAACAGAAACTTGACCAAGTGAGTAGTTTAAATCGAATGGTGTGACTCAAAAGCAAAGTTTTTGGTCTTTGTTTTAAAAACTTCTTCCCGTATCTTTTACAGAGTTGTCTCAATCATTAGTGCGATTAGAGATGGAAAAGATCTATTAGAATACAAAATGCGTCTAGGATAGGACAAGCTCGTAGGCCTTTCAAAGAACAGCTCTGTCTCCACTTCCCCAGGACAAGGTCAGGCATGTCCTCACCTGCACAAGAGTTCAAGGACTGCTGCGGAAAAGACTCAGTAGAGAGAGAGAGAGATCCAGAAAGTCCCCTGGGAGGCTGCCAAGGTGAGCCCGCATACTGGGACAGTCCTGGCAATGGGAAAGCTCTGCTTAGTAGAAATTCTCTTCGATATTTCACATCCAGACACACCGCAGACTTCAACACATCCACTTTGTAAGTGTTTCATCAACACCAACACTTGCCACGCAGGCTTTAGACATTCAAGGGCTGGAAATGTTCACTGCCAGAGAAGCTGATACCACGGCACCACACAGAGACACCGCTCATCCCAGAACAATCCTCCACCAGGACTGCGTCATAGGTTGCATAGCAGCAGCAGCCAGGCCCACCTGTAGTAACAAACACCCTCATCTCAAGTTTGGAAGAAGCTGAGCTGCTTGCAGAGTTCCCTAAGCCAAAGCATCATGTGACGTGACCTTTGCCGCTTGAACACCTGAGAAAGCAGAGCTGTTGGCCAGTTGCTAGAAGGATTGCAGTCATTTTTTTGAGTGAGTAAAGACTATGAATGGAAGGACAGCCAGGGGCAGGCCCTCGAACTGTGGCAAACTGATATATGTGCATCCTTCGTGGGGAGGTCCATCAATCTTGCTGTATTCTCCACTCACACTGTAACTGCTTTTTGCCTTTTGGAAGAGGAAAAGCAATGATGTAAACTATAAATCTGTTGTGCCTAGAAAAATGTTTGTCCTTCGAATGCCACATAACCTTATTTAAAAATAGTATATGTAGAACTTGTATAAGCACATACAACGAAAGGGTTTACTCCCCAAAAGCGTAGCTGCAAAGCCAATAGCTGTAGTTAGGAACACTACCCGGAGGGAAAATTGGAGCGTGGAGTTGGGCTTCGGGTATACTGGGAGGGAGGGCAAACTTTCTTCTATGCCTCCTTTCCCTCTCTGTGAAAGACTGATGAGCGATACATAATGTGTCACTGGTACGAGATACTCCCCAGAGCATCCACACTTGAGAAGGAGACAAGCCAGTCACAGATCTCTAAAAAGGAAACTTGCTGCATCAGAGAGCACTCACAGCGGAAGGCTGAATTTAGTTCACTTTTGTTCCGGTGAATAAACAAGAATTAGGCTAGGTGCCTTCATATTACTTAGTATGCATCACCCCTAGAGATGCTAACTCAGAAGGTCTGGGACCGGGCCTGTGAATGCATATTGATAATAAACTCATCAAGTGATTCTAACATGTCCAGCTTTGGGAACCTTAAAAGTCTTGCCTTGGTGAGTTTTTCTTGAAGCAAAATTTCAGTGATGGGAGGCTGAGAAGTATTATAATATAAACCAAGGCATATTAAAATTTTGAACAGAAATTGGTTTGAATGCCACTAAAGCAAACTAGAAGTGGTTAGGAGCACTCCACTGACAGGTGTTTGGGGGGAAGACTTTTATAGAGAAGAGGTAGAATCAATGCAAGGATATTATTTGATTGGCTGTAGCTTAAGAGATTGCTTTCTTTGGAACAGCCTAGTTAGCTGTTTATGGTTGGTTGTCCTTAGGTTTCGATTTCTTAACCTTGAGTATTTACAGGCTTAGGTTTGGGTTTCTTAAGCAGGCTGCCACGGCATTAGAACCAGCTCAGTCTAATGGTCTCCTTGTTTAATTAATTTAACAGAAGGTATGTGATATGTGAGGAAAGATTGGTGAGAAATCTGGAGGGTTCATAGTGGGTCCATGGCCCATTAGGGCAATCACCGTTACTGAAATAAAAATGGTCTGTTTGCCTGCATTCAAGTCAGAGAAGAAATACAGGCAGGTTTGCAGCAAAGAAAGTAAGGATTTATTTCAAGGAGTTGCAAGTCCCGGAAACGGAGGCGAGATAATGCTCTCAAAAACCTGGCTGCCCGGAGGAGTATGGATTATAGAGGGAAAAGTCAGTTGTTATGGAAACTAAGGGAGTTGGCTTAACTGATCATTGTGTTCAGTTCTGGAGTCAGCCTGGCGCCATCCCGTCTGGTCCCCTGGCCTGGTTCCATGGCCAGTGGGCTTGTTGTTCTGCCTCGATGGGCCTGGGGCTGAGACACATCTAAAGCTAAGATATTATCTTTAGTGTAACCAAAAAATCATTGTCCCCATGACTGTAGACCTGAGTCTTGACAAATCTTATGTTATAAGGCTTAACTGTTAAAGAAGCAGGCATATAGGGAGAAAGGGGAGAAAAAGCAAGCAAGGTACAATGCCATCATCTGGGCAAAACCAGCCTGAATCAGAAAAAAACTATAATAAAGAAATGAGATGAAGTTTGTGTGTGGTTACACCATGAACTGGGTCAGCTTTCTGC